GGGGGGGGGGAATCTACCCTGCTGTTTGCAGAAATTATTGCCATGATGTTTGAAGTCCGCAACATTCCAATTGGGCTGCACAGAATTGGGATTACATACACACACAACTCTGGCCTGTAAGAGATAGAGGCAAGGGGCGAGGAGGAAGGGATAGAGAGGGAGGGAAGGTGATGAGGAGTGAAAGTGGCAGTGAGTTTTAGAGAGATGGCAGAAACCAAGGGAGAGCAGCCTCCATGCCTGTGACAGCAGCTGAAATCCTATCCACTGGAGGAAAAGGGAGATGACACTCCCATGAAGGAAATGCGCAGGGAAACGAGGCAAGTGGGGGGAAATAGATAAAAGTGACAGAAGAAATATATAAAAAATAATGTGTGAGAAAGTCACAGCCAGAGTTTGGAATGTGCAAAACGCATTTGTTTGGACATGTGTCCTCGTTAGAAGCCATGTTCAACAGGCAACTGTTTGGACAGTTTTGGTCAGTGTGGGTGGGAAATTCAGCCAACAAACAGCACTTGTTTATACCCTTTTCTACAGTGGTGTCCCAGTTACCAAATCAAAACCCTAACACACATTGCCAATGTTTTTCACAGAAAAGTCGACAACATCATACAAACTGAAGGTTATTTTATTCATGCATAAAAATGTGTGTTGTTGTAAAATGGTACTCTGTGGTGTCCTTGCTGTTTATTTCTTTGTGTGGCACAATAAGGCCATAATGTACACGTTTCAGGGGTGTGATAACCAATGTTCTCCCACTGCAGCAATACACAGGTCTTCATGTTTTTTTATCTTTTGTCTGTATTTTGCAGACCTTGACATACCTGTTCTCACGGTGCACCAGACCATCAGCGATGTGCGGGGCAGTTACTACCAGGAGAAGACTGTGTTCCTGCGCTGCACCGTCAACTCCAACCCTCCTGCTCGTTTTATCTGGAAACGTGGGAACATGCTCATTGAACAGAGCAAGGACAATGGAGTAGACATCTATGAACCACTTTACACTCAGGTAAACATGCACGCATACACAGGGCACACACGCACAGCCAGGGTTACTGTCACTCCCAACTGTATACTCTCCTCTTTGAGAAATCCCCCTCAAATCTTTACCTACTGACTGATGTGCTTTTCCAAGTTTTTCCCTTGCCTCAATAAATCTCTCTCTTCCTTTTATTTTTTTGAGGGGCCAGGTTAGAACAATCCCTGTTTGGCATCATACATTTGGTGTTTCAGTTTCATAATTAAGGGGGATGAAGGGAGAACAACTCTGTTAATCTCAGAATGCCCCCAGAAAATGTGATTAAGGGTCACACTCTTGCTCGCAAGATTCAAAAAATAAATACATTTTTTTTAGGTCGGGATTATTGTATGCATTTCCATCTGGACTCACAGTAAACCAATCTGAACTGAATGCACACATTACTTTTATTTTTAAGACCCCAGCAATTTGGTAAATAGCTTATTCTTTAGACGGTGGTGAAAATGTTTGCCACCATTTTTTGTATTTTTTGTATTTCCCACTCACTGTCTGTGTTCACCTCTATAGGATGAAGCTTGTCCTGACTCATTATGCAATATCACAGTCAGGTTAACATTATCAGCTTTGCTCTGCTCTTTATTTGATTGGGGAGGTTTATCAAATCTGTTCCAAACTCTCCGTCAGACATTATGCCACGTTCACTTCAAACATGTCATAGTCCTCATCATAAAGACCTTTTTATCTTGTGACGTTGAAAGGGAAGCGTACTGTTTGAAAATACAAAAAGCATCAATCTGTATCAATCGTTAGCTCAACTGCTCTCTTTTTCTCCACTTATCAAAGCAACAGTCAGCCACAAAGCTGTGCCCCTCGAGTTCAATTAGCCAGCCAGCTGAGCTCTTCCCCAGGCTTCCTGAGAAACTGTTGGCCCATCATTTACTGTAGCAGACTCACAGTTAGACACTATCAGACACAAAGTCTTGATCTGAAAAATCAGCAGTGATGTTGAAAGCGATATGTGACTGCTGTGTGTCCTGTGTGTGCGTGTATCTACATGAGAGGCACGAAAAAAGCAGCTGGAGTGCCGAGAGACATGCGTTTTATGAATATTGAGGGAGAGGATGGATGGATGGATTTAGCCTTCTTTTTTGCATCAAAAATCAGTTCACTTTCATTTTCCTAATGGTTTCATGTGAAGCCATTTACATTCATCATTCATATTACTCTATATGTCTATTTGAGATGCTTCAGTTGATAATCAGGCCATGTGAGACATGCAAACACAGTAGGATGTGTGTTTTTGTGTGTTCATTCGTGCGTTCATCTCAGTGAGTCTATGACCCTGTTTATCAGACTGCGGCTCATCAAAAATTGAAGTGACTTTTATGCAAGATTACAACCCAGTTTAGAAAGACTGAGCTTTCTCATTGATGTAATGGAATGGTTTATGTAATGGAAATGTGGTCATAGATTTATCTCTAGATTCATGTTTATGCTCATAAAAGACTGTGTAAAAAATTTTTTTTTATACTTTTGATTGCTGATGCCATGTGTGTGTGTTTAATCCCATCCAGGGTGAGACCAAGGTGCTTAAGCTGAAAAACCTCAGACCCAAGGACTTTGCCGATTACACGTGCCAGGTGTCAGTACGCAATGTGTGTAGCATCGAAGACAAGTCAGTCACCTTCAGGCTGACAAATGCCACATGTAAGTGTTTCTATTGTTTCTTTGAGATAACACCAAAGACAAAGTGTGTGCGAAGGCTTCAATGAGCTGTCACAAAGCAGAGATATTCCCTTTCTCTATTCATCTCTTGCTTTGACTTTTGCACTCTCTTATTTGTATATCATTTCCACATCTCATCTCTTACTTTTCTCTGCATGCTCTTTTTGTTTGTCTCGGCTCAGGAGGAGTATCTTGATGTCAGTCTCTTCCTTTCATCATTAAAATGTCTCCCATCTCTGCTTGTGCAGTATTCCCATTTCCACCTCTCTATCTCTCTCTTCCTTTCCTTATTTCCTGAGTTTTACCTTTACCCTTTTACTTTCCTCTCATGTTTGCCCTTAGTGTCTCTATCTCCTCGCCTGTCTTGTTTTCTGTCGCTGAGAGCTCATCTCAGGGCCGTCAGCTCTAATTCAGTTGTCACACTCCCTGTTATCTCCAATTCACTCTGCACTGCTCCGTCCATCTCCACGCCACCGCCCGGCAACTCTGTTACCTACGACAATATTGTTGCCGTTGCCAACCCTGTCATGTTTGTTATGGTCAGAGTGATACACCACAGGGAAGCCCCCTGCTTTTTCTAATATGTTTGTTTTCTCTTCTTCTCTCATTTTCTACCTGCCTTCTTTTCTGTCTAAACATGTTTTTGTAAATCTTGCAGGACAGTTAAGTGCTATATAGTGCTTTTTTTCAATCCTCACTTGTGTTTAATTCCTTGTTTTTTTTTATTGGGAAGGTATTTGTTGTCAAATCATGTGTCCTACATGCTTAAAATCCTTTTGAAGATACAAGTGCTCTTCAGGGCTTCTTATCTTAATCCAGTCTTTCTCATGGTCAGAGGGCCTGAATAGATATGCCCTGAAAATGGGGATACAGCAAAGTTGAAATGCTTGCTTTAAAGGTGGGGTAGGTAAGTTTGAGAAACCGGCTCGAGAAACACTTTTTGTTATATTCCATGGAATGCTCTTAACATCCCGATGGCAATAAATATCTGAAGTGCTTTGACAAAAAATCCATACAAAAATGTATGTCTGGAAGCCGTAGCGCTAAAAAGCACGACCAATCATCTGAGCCGGCCCG